GGCTTCTTGTCTCTTGATATACAGTACATCTGTGGATGTGTAGATGTCCCTGATGAGGTTTTTTTTGGACACCCACCCGCCTCATAATACTTAATTTTGTTTGCTTCCTATATTTAGTTCTGTGTTAGTCTAAAAGTAACGAAAGTAAGCATGTAAAGGCATGCAGTAGCACTGTTGTGTCACTTAGTGGCGTTCGCTGGTTTTGAGCATGGTTTTTTTGGAGTGGAGGCCTCTCGAAGAAAAAAGAGATGTGTGTATGATGGTGAACATGCCCGAGTTAAAATAAATCCTGGAAAAGGACAATAAAATCTGCTGAAAACCAGCAGAAAGATTCTTCTTCTTCAAAAGTGCAACACATCTATGCCTGTAATCCTGGATTCAGTGTGTAATGTGCAGAAGGCAGGCAGCTTTATTGTTATTGCAGCAGAGGGAACATTGTCTTCAGTCTGTCTGCTCAGGATGTTAGATTAGACCTCCTGAAAAGAAGAAGAGGGAAAAAAGAGCCTAAAAGCTTAGTTCTCATAGTCCAATTCTGATGACTTTGGCCATTGTTAGAGCACTGATTGTTTCCAGGAGAAAACACACACCTAAATGGTTCACTCCTTGTTAACACTTTCTCTCAAAGTATAATTTAGCTGGAGCCTCATCTCAGCTTCTCCATCGTCACTATTTTCAGATGGAAACTTCCACCGGCTTGAAGTAATTGCTACTCTGAGCATGCACAACCGAGGTCACTCAAGTGGACCTAGTCATTCCACTGATAGCAAACTTAAGAGGGGAATACAAGCTGATGACTGCAGATAGAACAGCTGCATTTACCACTCTGGTGCCGATGTAAATCAGGGCCTCATAAGTTTTCCCCATTTCACTAGCTGGCACTGCACCTTATCCTGGCACACTGGAAGAGTTTTCATCCATTAACAGAGTTGCTGGAGTGCAGGAGAAATAGACCTTTCTCTTCTTTAACACAGGAAAGGCCACAGGACTGGCGCACCAGCGTCAACAAAATACTTTTTACAGTTCTCCATGAGGGTGTCAAGTATCATGTAATACAGTTTTTTGTTCTGCTGCATTTACGCCAACAACTTGTCCGTGTTTAATGAATGACGACTTCTTATTGAAGATTTTGTTCCTTGACTACATCTCGTCTTATTTTAATAATGAAAATAATTTAAAAAATTTTTTGATTGAATGTCTAGAAAATTTTCCCTCTTTATGCCTGATGTGCTCATGTTGAACCTATACATATTCTTTCACTATGCCATTCCAAATAAATAAATACATAAACATCAAAGGAAAAATCAGTGTTGAATCACTGTTTATGCTGGACTATTATATACAGTAAATCAGAATCAGAATCAGCTTTATTGGCCAGGTGTGACGGACACATGAGGAATTTGACTCAGCTACATCGGCTCTCAATGTGCAAAAAAGTAAACCAGCATAAGGCTGTGTAATATAACAAAATAGCAGTATTAACATCAACAAACAGTGCAAACAATGCAGAAAAGGCAGTATAAACAGACAGTAAACAATGCAGACAACAAAGGAATGTTCATTGAAATGAGATAAATAGGGATAAAACAGAGTACTTAAGAACTAGAGACCTGTATGAGTCTCTATAATCTAAAATCTTCAATACTGCTGGTGCAGAAAGCGGCCCCTAAAAGGAGATGCTAAATTTAAGCTGTTTTTCTACTGTCTGTATCAAAAAGAATGTTTTTATATGCCAGTTAACAGCAAGACAAACTGTGATTTGTATCCAAATGGGAGCTGTGTACCCGCTGCATCAGTCACTACTGTAGTGCTGGCTTATTCATCACAAATGCAGGTTTACTTGTCATTTAGTGTGCCCTGCTCTTTAGACACAGTTTAACTAACCCAAACTAATATGTTCCTATCATGATAAAATTATCCTATTAATTCTCAACCAGTTAACTAGGTTCTTTAAACGGACCTATAGGTTAACTTTAGGTTATCTTAAATAAAAGTGTGCTCTTATTTTGAAATGAAGGCAAAATGAGAGTGGAAACCAGGTAGATTTAAGTATCATTTTATGTTCATACACATTTAATGTTTTCACTTCCACAGTTATACAAATAGTTATGAGTAAAGGCTGTTACACTGAGTTTTGTATCCATAGGAAGATGTAGTTGTACGTGTGTGAGCATACAGTTTGCAGACAAATAATTTACTTTATTCCTTACACCTTATTTAACTTATTCCAGACTCATGCCAAATAATCAACAATCAAATCAAGCAACTCAGGTTATAGACCTTTATCACAGCAGACATTTTGAGTTGTCACAGTAAAAGCACCACAGGTGTAGCTAATGACATTACTAATGGCTGAGTTCCATTACATGTCCCAATAAACAATGCCACTCAGCAAGCACACACAATGCAATACATCCATCATCTATACTGATTATTCCTAAATAGGGTCTCAGGGGTGTAGAGACAATCCCAGCTGACACTGGGCGACAGGAGAGGTACTCCCTGGACAGGTTACCAGTCTACCATGGAGCTGACATGTAGACAAACAACACTACTCACTCCTATGGGCAATTTAGAGTCACCAATCAACTTAAGCTGCATATCTTTGGACTGTGGGAGGAAGTCAGAGTACCCAAAGAGAACCAACACAGGCACAGGAAGAACATGCACAGAAAGGCACTGGGTTGGCCCAGGCTTGAACCAAGAGCATTCTTGCTATGACATCGCTAACCACCACACTGCTGTGCCACCCTGCACAACACCATGTTCCTGGAAATGGCTCACATACAGTAAATGGAATGCAGTCATTATGAGTGTTACTGATTACACCCATGTTTTTCCTGACATACAGCACATATAAGCTTTATTTGCCTCAATAAAGGACTAAGTACTGATGATTTGGAGAAAGGAAGATGTATGACTCATGTGGTTTCATGGAATTGGGTGTTTTTGCCATGTGGTTTACCACCTTTGCATCCAGTGCACAATTCTTCCACTGAGACAGGGCAAACATAAGTCTGTCAGACCAGCAGTGGTTAGCTCTTCTCGGGCCGGTTCCTGTTCAGAGCTGCTTTAGGTGTAAACTCCAGTCTCTCTTTCAGACTAAGCACCTGTGTGCTGTCCATACCAGCTTGTTCCTGCAGTTTTCTCTCCTCCCTCAGCTCCAGGATGCCCTTCTCCTCCTCTCGAGGTTTGGGGGTCCCCCTTATAAACCATTCCAGGTGATAGCCCACTGCTCCAACCACAAAAGCAACAGGGAAGGTGACATAAGGAGCATAGGTTCGCAAAGCTGTCCAAACTACAGGCCACATGACTGTGGCTCCCAGGAGCTTTATGGGGAAGAATTGATAAGGGTAAGAGGATTGTAGTTTACATTAAAAGGGTAATTACAGTCATAGCACTGGAGGAAATAGATAAGTGCCATCCATTCATAGAGAGGATACATATTAGATTTTACATTATCTTACCCTCACTAGTTCAGGTTTGAGTATTCAGAATGTGAAACACATCTCCGCTGGTCCCCCCTCTGTGGTTTCTGATTCTGATGAATAAACACAACTATTTACATGACAGCATAAATGAGTTCAGCAACAGCTTTATAGCTACGTAGTGGTGTTTGTTTTACTAAAATATCACATTGTTGTGTAAGGCCTGAGAACAAAGCAACTAGGTGAAGGAAAAACAGTATCCATTAGACAAAGAATGTAGAGGTTCTTTCTGTTAATTATGTTGGCAACTCAGGTACTGAGGTACTTGAAATTCAGCCTGTGATTCTTTTGGGTATTAATAATAATAAAAAAAGAGCTGTCCTGTCTATCCTTCCCATGTCCTCTTCACCGTCTCAGCCGACAACATAAATACAAGTACCATCCAGTGTAATGGTAATTTAAGTGTGTTGCACATATGCCGAATAGAAAAGTGGTTCTTCCCGATTGGTAAACGTTATTAATTTATGTTAGATTACATGTGATTTACTTTGTACACATGAAAGACAAATACATGTGACATGGCCAAATGTGTTACGGAGTTTTGCGTGGCGTCTTTCCAACTATTAACCTATAGTTAACCAGAGAATGGCGCAAAACTTAAAACGCCAAATAAATATAGGACATAGTTTTAATTGCCAACATTTCTAATAGGACTATGGTTTACTGAATTATAAAGTGGTACTGCGTTGGCATTTTGCGAATCTACTTGGAAACAGCTACCTTATGGTAAGTTACATTTAACTGCAGAAACAATGTGTGTGGCTTATATCTTTTTATTTTCGCAACAGTTTGTTTTATCATAAGTCCTCAAACTCACCTTTACCGTTAGCACATTGCTGCAGCAGTAGGTCAACCACGAATGCTACTTCCGTATGACCGTCTGTAACCTTCCTGTTTAAACATCATTGGCTAATCTTCTTCTTCTTCTTCCTCGTTTTATTGACGAATTGCCACTATAATGAGCATTATCGCCATCAACTGTTACGTAGTCCTCTATACACAGTCGTTAGAATTCTTTAAATTTCTTTTTAAGCTTTATTTAGAATATACATAACAAACAAGGCAGTATAACAATTTGCCAATATGGTGGTTAGTACAGGGTTTCAGATTAATTTTTATTAAATCTTTCATTTTCCAATTTCGATTTTAATGCCTTCATTTACATATTTTATAAATCTAGGAAGACGTTCTACTGTCTTTTATTATTTTCATTTTCATTGACCGATGAGCCTTGCTGAAGAAGGCTTTAGCTGCGTTTTCCTCAGTATGTTAGTGGTAAAATCTGTACACTACATTTAAATGAGCGTTGCCAAAACATTCATCAACTGTATTCTTCTGTTAATTAGGTAACCCGACGGGGATCACATTAATTAGGCTAATGCTATTGCTGATACTGATAATGGTTGGTATTACACAATTAATTGTGTAGTACTTTGTAATAATTACTTTATATAAAATGGACAAATATACACATTCAGTTTAAGGTCAGAAACAAAACTATTTCACCACAGAAATCAATTTCATTTTATTCAAATATATCTTAAGCTTTGAAACTAATAGGCTGCCATATAATCAAATAACCTGAACACCATGTGCTTTGTGACTACTGTGAAAGGGAATGAGTCATGAGAATACCATCTCTTTCTTATTCAGTGGCATTCTGCACAAAGTCCTCCTCTCAAGGAAAACTCTGACAGATCTGCCACCAGTATTGTGTTGTATGCTGACAATGACATATCCCTCAATTTCCAGGATTGTTTTAGTTTAAAATCACAGGTTGGTATATAAAACAGGGACACTTACAGGAACCCAGTATAGTGTATAAAGACAGTAACTGTTTTAGCAAGGCTTTATTTATTTTATCTGTTTATGAGAGATGTAAAGAAACTTTGTAAATTTGAGGCAGAGTTGGCTATATGGGGAAGAAAATACTGCACTGTAGTTTCTGGGCAGTAAATCACTAGGTATTCTTTGCAAAGATTTATATGACTGATGGCTCTGGTATTTCAGCTCCCAAGCATAAAAGTCATTCATAAAACTATGCCATTGCAGTGTACAAGGCTGATCTATAGCAACTGGAATGTAGCCTGTCATGGAACAATGAGCAGTTCTGATTCAGTAGTCATTTGTGCAGAGTTAGGAGATGACAAAAATGGAGCTATATCCAAATTTTTATGTTATCATTACCAGAAATGACGGCTGAGAACGTTGTGATTAACAGGTCTGTGTGGGTGATCATGTTTCATGCTTCAAAATGATTTGCCCCACTTTGTTTTCCATCTTGTAGCTGCCAGAACAGGCAACTGATCAGTCCCGTCAGATAAACTGAAATGTGCACATCCCTGTGGAAAAAAACAGCATTGCTAGTGCCAGATCTGCTTTACCAACCATAGCAGTGCCAGGATTATTTCATCAGCTCCTGTTTATTAATAAATTACATTTGGAGCTGCACTAGCCAAGAGTTTTATGTAAAAATACAACCATCGTCAATCCAAAGCACAGACCAGGGCTGACAGAGTGGAGCGTTACATAATGCTAACTGAAGCCCCATAGATATGCTCTATTTGCCCATGTTAATTACAGATGCCAGGCATGGTCAGTGGTGGGATATTTTTCTCATTGGACAGAAAACGGCTATCAGGACTTAGTTTAAATCACTGCTGAATTACAGGAACCACAAAAAGCCTGCTGCATGAGCTGAAACCTTCTTGCATGATGTGCTTATATAGTAATACTCAAAGTAAATCTTCTGAAAACAGTCCACACACTTTACATGTCCAGGTGATGTGTCACCAGAGCAGGGGGTATGGCAGGAAGAGTATTACACCAAGTGTTCTTACAGCCTTGAGATAGCTAAGTTTATCTTCAAATTATGGGAGAGATTGAGGGAAATGGGAAAAGAGGAGATGAATGTGGGACCAAAAAAGATGCACAAGAGAAACTGAAGGATTACCTGTGATTTGGAATGAGACGAGGGGCAGCAGGAGGATTCCTGACACAGACTGTGATCAAGCAGAGTAACAGATGGTGCGGAGACGTGCCAGATGTGGAAGGGGAAGACTGGGGCTCTTGCTCTTTTGTATGGCCAATCTCCCCTCCTCAAAAGGATAAATGAGTAACCTACTTGGGCATTGTCAGGTTGAAGGTCATGAGTAAAGTTGGGATTTGCCTAGATTTCTGTTAAAGCAAATGGTACACTACAATAACAACTGCACCTGCACCTTCACAGAATAAAATAACAATTCTGAACTTAAAGTAGTTGCAGTTAACACTTTTTTATTCTAGAAAATACCTTAACCCAAGCTCACACAAATGTACCAAATCTGTCATACTGACAGTAAATTGGAGGTGGTTTTACCACAGTACTACATTTACATAATATTTACCCTTTAAATACAGATTAAACAGTTTGTACAGTGTGCAGCTTCTGTGTCTCCTTATTATTAATTAGACAATTTAAAGAATTATATCAAATTGTAATACAAAAACATTTATTTGTTTCCAGAATTAAGGAGCATTTTGGCATGTTCAATGATTACAGAATATACTATATACCTCAGTGGAGTGTATTATCGGTTAAAGTACAAGACAGAATTGCATACAAATACACACACATATCACTTAATTACAGAGCTTTACAAACAGTACCCCACTAAATGTGAGGTTAGAATAAAAAATGTGCCTCTATTCTTTGTTTAATTACATACACTGCAATACAAAGCAATATTTAATACAATGTACAGCAATTGCATAGAAATACCCTCTGAAAATGCTAGATAGAGGACATCTGTCCAGGCAAAGCAGAACATGTGCCCTACACAACACAACCCCAGCACTATAACATCGCTAGAGCCCAGTACCAGCCAACTACACTGCCTCCATATGTGTGAATGCCTCATTAATTTGTCCTGACATAATTTTAATCAATTACTGGGCCTAGGAAGTATGAAACTTGCTGGCCATCACTGTCACCAAGGTATCTATGGTAAGATTGTGACTGTTTAGAAGGACTTACAGTATTGTATATGGTGATTGATGTTATGAAGCCACAGTCACTTTGCTGATAACTCCCTGGTTAAAGTTTAGTTTGGCTACCTTCACCATAATACCTATATAGGCTTTATCTATTTACAGCAACAAGAAATGGAATAATGTGTACTGGCAGTTGTACTGTACACATACCAATGTGTACAGTAGGGATACTTCTGGAAAACTGGAGAAAAACACCAGGCTCACATAAGCCTGGTGATGGCACCAGAGAGGAAATCCTCATAGCTGAGGCGGATGTTGCCTGTCATGGCCCTGTCTCTCTCCCTGAAGGCCTGTGTCATGCTCTGGAGCTGCGTGCACACCTGGATGAAGCGGTCCAGCTGGATGCCGGGTGGCCTGCCTTGCAGGGTGAAGCGCCGCACCAAAGTCTCAGAAAACTGGGGACTGAGGTTGTAGCCCATCTGAGCCAGGGCTGAGGGGGTGGGGACAAGATAGGAAAGAATTTGTGTTTCTCAGGTGAGAAGTCTTTGGACTTTTTTGGTCTTAATTTTTTCACGGTCATGATCATGGTTTTTGTATAGCCGTATCCCAATTAAGAGTAGCATCTACACAAACAGTGATACCTTGGTGTAGCTCCATGCCACTGATAGATCCTGAACGGTCTCTGTCATACTGATGAAACAATGCTCTCCACCTCTGCATAAAGTCCCAGAGTGCTGAGAAGCCTAGTAGGTCTATTTGACCTGACCGTGTTTTGTCAAACATATCTAACAGGAAATACAAAAGACAGCATATTAAGCTAAACATGACAAAAACATTTTCCTACAATTACTGTACTTTCAAAACAGCATAAATATGAAGTGCATTTTCAGCAGGTTACCAGCAAGCCAAGCATCCATTATCACTTGATCTGCCTCCCACTATGTTGAGCATTTCATTTGGCTGCAGCTATGTGACTTACTGATCATCATGAGGCAGGTCTCATCATTAAAAGCAGACCAGTTGGAGTTGACAAGTGCCTGCTTTAGCTCCTTTAGGCTGATGAAGCCGCTGTGGTCCACGTCAACAGTCTGGAACCACTGGTACGCTTCTGGGCTAACACCAGGAGGAATGTTACCTACAGAGAGGACAAATAAGAGTAGCGATAGGATGAAGGAGGATTCAGAATAACTTAGAAAGTGGCCATCAGTAAAGATTGTTTTTTAGCATGCTCTTGTTTCCATCATCCTTTTCTTCATTTTCAATCTGTCAAAACCGGTTTGATTTATTCTCTTTATTACTTCCCATCCTTATATTTATTACCAGGGATATTTTTCATAGAAGCTCCTGGGCTTTGTGGAGTGACAAATGTATGTGGGAAAGAGAAAAAAATAGTAACAGAGAGAAGAAAATGGTAGCAGAGATTCTTAGAAATGAAGCATCTGCTTTGTTTCAATGAATAATTACTTATTTATCCTGAGATTTAAAAAAGCATTATTCTACTATCTTAGGAGTTCAAACTGCATTGACTCTGTCAATAAGAGTCTTGATCATAATAAATAATACATCTGTGCTTGACTCAATCTTTTGCCTTTGTTGTTTAGAGGGCTAGAATAATATGGTAGGTAACGACTATAACACAGAATACATTTGATATATAATTGATATGCCAAATATAATTCCTACAGCTGAGCACCTTTTATATGTGTTTAACAACTAGCACATACAGCACTGACATGCTATGCTGTTTGTGAACAAATGCAGAGGCATCTCAGCAAGAAGGACATAGTGTTATGGCAAGAGGCCATGACCTGAATACATGGGGAGAAAGGTAACATTAAAAAATAGGGTGGGGGGTGACTGTCAAAAAATTGGATGGGGAAAGAGGGACAGATGACACCTCAAGTCAGACCCTAATGGATTTTGTCCCTGCAGGAAATGATGGCAACGTAGGCGACTAACGATTAGCTGCCACAAGAAACAGCATAATCACCCATCCACTCACATTCTTTACCCATTACTCTCTTACTCTGTTTAGCCCTCACTCGGTCTTACCAGTCATCACTCCAAGCTGTGTAATCCTGCTGAGGGGCACAAATTGAACTCTGTCTCTACACAACTGTCTGGGAACGTACATCATTTTCTATCCATCATCTTACCAGAGAGTGAGGGGGGAAGAAAATAAGAAAAAAGAAATGAAGAAGGGGAAGAATAGCTGATCTGCCATCTTGTCATGTTCAGAATACAGCCGTTCAGCTCCCATAGATGAAACGAATGGCGGATGTGTCCACAGCTCCAGTCTCAGCCTATAGTTACCTGCAGAAGCATGGTGTCCGTAAGGCCCTCCATGAGGCTGTCCTCCGTAACCCCAATATGGCCTGCTGGCGACACTTCCTTGACCAGGGCCATACTGTCCTCCCTGACCTGGGCCTCCATAACCACCATAATGACCTCCTTGTGGGCCAGCTGCACCTCCATATGGACCTGAGGGGGGAGGCCTATAGGGACCACTGTCTCCTCCATACGGAGCACTCGGTGGTGGGTTGCCTCCTCCTGGATAACCCTACAGTGACAGACATAAGCAAAGTTCAGTGAGACTTATGATAAATACAGGGAATAAAAGGCCTGCGTGTGTGTCTGGAGGAAGCCACTTATAGCCACTGTAGTGAGATTAAAAGGCATGAGCAACAATAAATAGGCGATTTTAGACAATATGTACAGAAGTACCATGGTTAATACTAAGTACATTTACCTAAGAACTGCACTAAAGTAAAATTTGATACTTGTACATTACTCCATTTATCTGACAGCAACAGTTATCCTGCAGATTAAGATCTTACTAACAAAATATGTGATGAGTTTATAAAGTATGATACATTCTTATTATATACATGAAGCAATCTAGGTTGCAAAGTAGTAGGACCAAATTAGTTGATAGAAAATTAATTGCCAACTAGCCTATTCTGATAACTTAGTCATTTCAACAGAAAAAAGTATCTACAACTATTTTGAGAGTTAATAGTTTTGCTTGTTTTTCAAACTACAATAGTCAAAAATGACAAATATTTGCAGATTTGAAGACATCACATTCAGCTCAACAAAATTCTTGTAATTCTTTGATGTTTCATAGACTATATCATAAAGCAATTAATCAGAAAAAATAATATGTAGATTTTTAACAATGAAAACAACAACAACAGTTGTTGCACTATTTTCAGTGCTGTTTACAGAGTAGATGCTGCCTCAGTAATAATTGGAATCCAGTTGTGTAATACATAATTTTATAATAAAACACTGAAGTAGGGAGTTCGAGGTGGCTACTTTTACCCTTAAAAACTTTCTGCTCATAATATTTATGTACTCTAGCAGTAACGTTAACACACTTTAAATTGTAACGTTAGTGTAATTTATTTACAGTGATATCTTGCTAGTTTTATCTACTACTCTATTACTACTACTTTTCGCTGTTCCAGTTAAGGGTCACCGATTCGCATGAGTAAATTTGTTTTTTACGCCCGATACCCTTCCTGACACAACCGTCTCTATTTATTCGGACTTGGGACCAGCACAGAAGTCGCTGGCGTGAAACCCCTGTGGGTAGATACACACTCACTCCTGGGGACAATTTAGAGTCTCCAATCAACCTAAGCTGCATGTCTTTGGACTGTGGGAGGAAGCCGGAGTACCCCGAGAGAACCCACGCAAGCATAGGGAGAAAATGCAAACTCCATACAGAAAGGATCGAACCCGGAACCTTTTTGCTGTGATGCGACAGCACTAACCGCCCGTCTCGCTAGATTTATTTAAATTGGATAAAGTTTCTGAATACCAACACAAAGTACAACCTATATATTACAACTGTGTTTTGTTCAAAAACTATTAGTGTAAGTTAACTTCTACATGAAATAAACCAAGACTGCTATTGTCAATTAAAAACCAGTAATAACGTTACTATAACAGGGTCGCAACATGTTCTTGAACAATAACTCCGGCGATAACCAAGCTGCTCCAAACTGGAAATTACTCACAAATTGCCAGTTTTCATTGAAAAACACCCTGCTTACCATGGCAAACAAACGAATGCCTAATGTTAAATTAACTAGCTAACATTACTAGCGTTAATGTTACCAATGTGTTACCATGTTAACCATGGGTTTACTACGTTATCCCTAGGCAATCAGACAGATAATACATTCAGCAGTATTGCATTGTTATAATAATTAACCTAGCCAAAACACAAAATATGATATTTCAATACCTGACCGTACTGGAAACTCATGTCTGACAGACTTTACTTCCCTCAACAAAGTAGCAGAGAGGCACACAACCGCCTGGTGGCTATGGTAGCTACTGGTGCATTTCCGGGTCTGTCAAAACGGCACCCGCGTTCCCTGCTCCTGATTGGACAGCGGAGAGGGAAACTTCTTCTTCTTCCGCTCCAAGCCCCCCACCCCCCGCTTCAGTTCAGTGGCAGAGTGGGAAAGGTGTGACGACAGAACAAACCACTATGAATCATTGCCTTAAGTCTCCCCTAGGCCTATATAAACTATAGAGTGCATAGTCAACCCAGTAGTACTCAACGCGCAACCCAATACTCATTCAGTTACTCACTCACCAAGTAGCCTAATGCGTTATGGATTTCTTTTCATCTCATACTGTCCAATCAGCACTAACACACCCCACAGTACAACACACCAGTGTTATAGAGGCCCCATTGTAATGCTTCATTATTAAGTTTTTACTTTAATGTATTTTCTTTATTTGATCTTTTTTCCTCCTCAGAATGGCTCTTTTCTTTTCCCATGCCATCTTTCAGTGAACCTATGCCTTAGTCTTTGTCCTAATGAGTTTCAGGATGGAGTTGCAGATGAGATACATCATTTTACAGATACATATTAATATGCAGAGAGCAGAGGAGACCACCATGAAGAGGGTGAAGATCTTCTCCGTGGGACGGGGTGTGAAACAGGCCACTGTGTTGGGGTATGGGAGTACTTGGATAGGTGGGGCAAGTCATAACCTTCATAGATGTGGTAGGATGTAGAAGAAGCCAGCATCAAAGCCTGCCTGATGGTTAAACTAGGAGGCACAGTTTTCAGGAAGTTTAAAATAAATTAAGGTAAAGATAATTAGACTGTCCATCCATTAAACAATATCAAGATGATTTCTCTGTCACTACTGGTATGAATAACATGATAATATTTACTATACACTGTCTCAGATGGATATCGGTTGTTCTCCATGGAGACTGATGAATATGTTTTTTCAGTATATGTGAGGCCTCTTGAGCTGCCATGGTGTATGAAAGGTGCCATATTAATAAAGCCCACTTGAATAATGAAGTAATAAAGATAAAAATGTGAAACCAATGCAAGCTTAAAGCTCATACAGTTTCAGTGCAGCTTGGACCTTTATTTCTGATTGCGTCAAGAAGTACAAAAACAAGCATTTTAAACACTTTTAACTTTTAAAATTTTCCTCTAATAAATGTGCATGGCCTGAAAGGGAATAAGTAGGATAACAGCTTCACTGTCCACTGTTCCATTTTACTTCTGTCTCATCTAATCCAAACTATTGTGATATTCCTTGGTTTTACTTTAAGATTAGACTGTGAGTATTCTTATTATGTACAGTATGTATGGTAAATTCACAAACTGCATGTTTACGCGTCTACAAAAATGCAAGTACTGTACCATACAATTCATTACACACTGTAGGGCATGTGATTGCTTCCTCTCAGTTTCATACAAAATGTACACAAACTTTGAGGTACTATTCAGGCAAGAGTGGAAGGAAAACCTCAAAGACATCTATATAGATAGCAAAGCTGAACCACAGTTTGTTTTCTCATTTGCTCTTGATTGCAATGTTGCCTTCATTGCTGACAGCAGCGGGCCTCGTCTGTCTCTTTGCGGTGTGTATGTCTTTCTCTGTGTTGTGACAGATGACACCAATCAACTGGAGGAATTCAAAAACTATTTAATGAAAGGGAAGGGGGATACAATTTAAGGGGTCAGTTAAATTTAAAAATTCATGCTATACGTACAACCAAAAAAAGATTTTGTATTTCCATAAGTGGGGTAAAACTATGGAATAACTTAAGTGTAGACATAAAAAACAGTACTAGAATTGACAAGTTTAAACATAAATATAAAGGTATGTGTCAATCAAGATATATGCAAGAACAGGCTCAATGATTAATTGTTGTGGGTGTGATGTATATTTTGTAACCATTCTTTAGTATATCACTTGTGTGATGTAAGAATGTGTTAGGTTATTTTTTAGTTAGATAGATATTCAGAGATTTGTTGTCTATGAATGTTTAGTGCAGACTGCAGGCACGTCAAGGTTAATTCAAGCATGTTCTAGGTATAAGCAAATTGATATTGGATTAGCATTTGTTGGATATGTGTGAAATTATGTGTGTTGACATATCAACTGTCTTTACATGTTTGAAAGAATAAATCAAAAATCAAAAAATCAAAAATCATGCCCTTCTCAACTGAGAAACCGTCAGTTACGTGATGCATTTTCATTCCAATATTCTTACTCAGTGTGATGCACATACAGCCTTAGCGCAAGCTCCTGGCTTTATTAGGAGAGAAGCGTGGGAGAAATCAATAACTATAAGCATTCTCAGCTTCATGCAAACAGGTGCAGTGTTAGGCAGGGGTGTCTAAATGTGCCAACAAACTGTAATTACTGGTTAAAAAATATCTCTTTCAGATCTCCATAGTAGTGCTTTCCTGCGTGTAACCGCCTCATCTGAGACAGTGATAAATCCTTTATTGTGACTCATGACACAGGTTAAGCTACTGTAGTTGCAAACACTTTTCTATACACCAAAACTATACTGTCTGAATGAGTCATTGCTCTTGGCTAAGAAGGTAGGGTTCTCTTGTGTGGGTTTTTTTTTCATCTTCTTCCCAGAACTGACTTTCTTTTATTTTATACTGCTTCTACATCACACCTTTTACCTTAAACCTTCTTCCATTTTTCAAGGTCCCACTTATCAACCAGAGGAATAAAGCATAAGCAGTCCACGTACAGTTTTATTCATGCTGCTTTCAGTTATCTGTTTTTACATATCTCATTCTTTTGTACACACCAGGGCTGAGCTCTTTCCTTGACATGCAAGATGTACCCTGTATGATGAAACAGAAACAGGCACAGAATGTGTAATATTTATGCCTTTTAATTTTATTTTTTACTATATCTTTTGTCCTCTAAAATGCTTTGTAGTGTTCATCAAAAATTAAACTAAATCAACATGACATCCATTTTCTTAGTCTAAAAATTCTTTGCAATAAAAATAAAGCACTTTTGAACAAAGGGAAGCAGTGTCAAAGAGATGTCTCATGACAGGCAGGTGAGTGTGTCCCAGCAGTTCTTGTGGCTGGATTTGAGGTGTGGATCTACTGGAAGAATGAAAGAATGTAAAGGTGGTATACCCCACACTGGCAATTCCAATTCCAATCCTGAACTTATTTTGCACAGGCAAATGAATGAAAATTGTGTGATAATGATAGTCAGACCAAAGACATTTAGAAGAAATAGTAAGCAACAGGCAGGTGGCTGAGCTGCATAGTATTGTATAAGATACAGTATGTAACTGATGTACATCTAGATGCAAAGTCTAGTCTGTGAGCCTATCAGAGCACTTGGGTTTATTGGGGTCTGCTGGTTTCAGGCGTTTGACCTTTAAATGCCTCTTAGTGTCTGCTTCATTAATTTACTGCCCTACTATTGTGCACTGTGATGACTGTACATGCACAAAAAGAAAACTGGGGATGGTAGATGGTCAGTCTTAGCTCATACAAAATAGTTCAGAATCAGGAGTGAAAGAAAACACCCAGGAATTTTCAGTAACAGAAAGCATGGTGTACACCACTGCAGTGTAAAAATACTCTATTACAGGTAAAAGTCCTTAATTCAAAATGTTGTATAAGTATAAACACAAAAGTACTTTCATCAAACAAATATTTGAAGTATGAAAAATAAAAGTACTCATTATGTAAACTGGGACATTATACATTGTTTTATAAATTATAATATTGGACTTTAATAAATAATATGTTATTGTGTGCATGACTTTAATGTTGGAGCTGGTAAAGGTGGAGCTACCTTATTTGCTGTTTTAATGATCAAATCTTTTAAATGTAATCATTTTAATTTTAATTTAATTTAATGTCATTTTAACTGTGTTGTGTATTAATCTGATTCTGAAATGTAACGAGCAGCAAAAATGACCAAATAAATATGGTGGTATAATATAATTTTCTTCTGTCTAAGTATTAAGTATTTGTGTATTGCGGCTTTAATGCTTTGTTGCTTTTATGTAACTTTTTATTTTAAGACTGAGTGAATTACTAAGTGTAATGTTTGAAGGTCACTGGGGAAAATACTATTATCCTATTTTTGTGTGTTGTGGTTTTTAATACTTTGTTGCCTTTATGTAATTTTTTTTTATTTTAAGTGATTAAGTGTTCTTTCTGGCCTTTGACTCCTTACCTGACTCCAAAGGAGAGCTGCACAAGAATTCCTATATGCATAGACTGTCTGTTTATGCATACATGGCAAATAAAAATCTTGACTTGACTTGAAGTAGCAGAAAATGTAAATACTCAAGTAAAGTACAAATATCTCTATTCTGCCCTCCCTAAATGTCCTTGTCTAGTTTGGCAGGTAGATAAACAGTCCCAAACTGACGGCAAAGATTCATGGCTTCAAACCTCATTTATTGCATTCAATTTAGAAAACTATAAAAAGGCATATATTTTTTCACTCTGTGGAGCGATTTCAACTTGAGCTTTACAACAAACAGCAGCTACTTCGTGCCTTCAGGATGAACTACTATTTCCTGGCCTAAAGTCAACTTCCCATGAACCTCAGAATAAACATGGTCAATCGCCACTAGGGGGCAATAATACCTGTCCGTAGAGGGCAGGACAACCTCAAAAATACTTTCCACCTCTGCATATAAACAAAACATGCCCAAAATTCTCAATTACTCAATTTACACAAACCATCAGTTTTATATCACATTTCCTTCTTCTTAATTCTTGCTCAAATGACATAACCAAAATTAAGTAACTGCTAATCCATGTCAGAAATAGCAGAATAGATGTGTCATCATGGCAAATTATCCAATGCACTCCACAGAAAGGAGGGTTTTTTGTCATGTTAGAAAATAATCCAATTCTTTTGTTGGAAACACGAGAAGTGAAAACAGGAGAGGACTGTTTAAAATCAACAGAAAGTTTACTGAAAGTCTGATCACAGGAAAGTGTTAGGATCGCTCGACACGATTATGAGCGAGCAGAAATGAACAGACCCAGGCGGCTGGCTTCGGTGCAGTAGGTGGGTTTATTTACAGTGCTAAAAC